TGTGGGTTTTTTCGGGCTATATGGCTAGTATTTGAAGGCCTGGCTGAGCCTGGGAAAATGTTTTGTTGAGAGGTGTTAAGCTGTGCCTGGTTGTTTCCTCTCTGCTGTTTTGCTGTTGTAATTTTAGAGTTTTTTTAATACTGGTAGCCAGATTTTGTTCATTTTCATGGTCTTCCTCCTTTCTGTTGAAATTGTCCACATGCTTGTGGATTTCAATGGCTTCTCTGTGTAGTCTGACATGGTGGTTGTTGAGTGGTCCAGCATTTCTATGTTCTCAAATAATATGCTGTGTCCAGGCTGGTTCATCAGGTGCTCTGCTATGGCTGACTTCTCTGGTTGAAGTATTCTGCAGTGCCTTTCATGTTTCTTGATTCGTGTTTGGGCAATGCTGCGTTTGGTGGTCCCTATGTAGACTTAACACCTCTCAACAAAAGATTCCCCCAGGCTCAGCCAGGCCTTCAAATGCTAATGAAGGAGGTCAGTTGAAACATTCACACCTAGCTCCAGCAGACAAGAGCTCTTTGCCCCACCCCAGTCATTCCACAGATATATAAACCCACTTTCCTAATTCCAACAGACCTCACTACCTTTGAGGGTGCTTGCCATAGATGCAGGCGAAACGTCAGGAGAAAATGCCTCTAGAACATGGCCATATAGCTCGAAAAAACCCACAAGAACCTTATCACCAGAATTAGCTAGACTTGAATTCTTTTTTTTTTTTGGGGGGGGGGCAGTAAATTTGAAGGAGACAAAATGATTACCTTGCTTCATTGCATACTGTGCAGGAATCCAATGGAAATGTTTCCACTGGAACTTCTCCTATGGTCTACTCAAAACAGCTGGGATCCTTTTGGATACAGATTTTGCCTAAAAAGTACACGATTTTGATCATTTGTACTAATAAAGGATGGGATTTTAGATCTGCACCTCCGCAGTTTGCTTAGACATGAAGAACAGAAAGAAAAACTACTCAGGATTGACAGTTATAGTTACTGGAGTTGCAGTGGCTATATTTATAGAATTGTCAGGGGCCCCTTTTACACTGCCATATAAAATCCAGATTATCTGCTTTGAGCTGGATTATATGGAAGGGTAGACTCATATAATACAGTTCAAAGCAGATCTGTTTTTTTAAAAAATATATAATAATTTCATAAAAGGGGGAGAAGAGAAAACAAAAGGGAAAATGAAAGATAGTAAGGGTAAGATCTATAGATAAACACTTAATACTGACATCTGTTAGTATTAAGGGGAGAGAATAGGGTATAGAAGAGGGAAAAAAGGCCTCCAGTTTTCTCCACTGTGGTCACAATTTTCTGTTCTTAGATCTTTTCAGTGTTGCTCTCCCTCCTTAACTTCAATTTTTGTCTTTACTTTCACTGTAAGTCTATTCATAGTTTTTTTTCTTGTAGCATATAGTGTATTAATGTCCAGCCTGTTATTTTCTTAAATCCATCAGAAGATTTGTTTAGTAGTTTAGAAGTTCTTCCTAATGTTCAGATGGAATCTCCTTTCTTGTAGTTTGAAGCCATTGTTCCATTGGGTCTTAGTCTCCAGGGCAGCAGAAAACGAAGTGTGCTCCCTCCTCCCTATGACTTCTCCTCACATACTTATACATGGCTCCTCTCAGTCTTCTCTTCTGCAGGCTAAACATGCCCAGCTTTTTAAGCCGCTCCTCATAGGGCTTGTTCTCCAGACCTTGATCATTTTAGTTGCCCTCCTCTGGACACATTCCAGCTTGTCAATATCTCTCTTCAATTGTGGTGCTCAGAATTGGACACAATATTCCAGGTGTGGTCTAACCAAGGCAGAATAGAGGGGGAGTATGACTTCCCTGGATCTAGACACTAGACTCCCCCCCCCCCCAACACCATACCCCCCTCCATACGACCGTCGCACGCAGCTTACTCCCTACTAACGAATTATCCTCCAACTAACGCCTCGACTAGATTGCATCGCCAACTGAATACCAAGAAGCCCCCCCCTCTCCCACCCTCCCCATCGGCTCTCGCCCTCTCCCTTCCCCCCCCCCCCTCCCTTCTAACAATATCCATAAATCTCTAACGCAACCTCTTCCTATTGACACACCCAAGCCACGATTTTCTTACCACCACGGGTTGTGTACCCAAGAACCTTATCACCAGAATTAGCTAGACTTGAATCCTTTTTTTGGGGGGGGGGGGGTAACAGTAAATTTGAAGGAGACAAAATGATTACCTAGCTTAATTGCATACTGTGCAGGAATCCAATGGAAGTGTTTCCACTGGAACTTCTCCTATGGTCTACTCAAAACAGCTGGGATCCTTTTGGATACAGATTTTGCCTAAAAGGTACACAATTTTGATCATTTGTACTAAAAAGGATGGGATTTTAGATCTGCACCTCCGCAGTTTGCTTAGACATGAAGAACAGAAAGAAAAACTACTCAGGATTGACAGTTATAGTTACTGGAGTTGCAGTGGCTATATTTATAGAATTGTCAGGGGCCCCTTTTACACTGCCATATAAAATCCAGATTACCTGCTTTGAGATGGATTATATGGAAGGGTAGTCTCATATAATACAGTTCAAAGCAGATCTGCTTTTTAAAAAAATATATAATAATTTCATAAAAGAGGGAGAAGAGAAAACAAAAGGGCAAATGAAAGATAATAAGGGTAAGATCTATAGATAAACACTTAATACTGACATCTGTTAGTATTAAGGGGAGAGAATAGGGTATAGAAAAGGAAAAAAAGGCCTCCAGTTTTCTCCACTGTGGTCACAATTTTCTCTTCTTAGATCTTTTCAGTGTTGCTCTCCCTCCTTAACTTCAATTTTCGTCTTTTAATAGTTTTTTTCTTATAGCGTATGGTCTCTTATTAATGTCCAGTCTGTTATTTTCTTAAATACATCAGAAGATTTGTTTAGTACTTTAGAAGTTCTTCCTAATGTTCAGATGGAATCTCCTTTCTTGTACTTTGAAGCCATTGTTCCATTGTGTCTTAGTCTCCAGGGCAGCAGAAAACAAGCCTGTTTCTTCCTCACTATGACTTTCCCTCACATATTTATACATAGGCCTCCCCATGTCTCCTCTCAGTCTTCTCTTCTGCAGGCTAAAAATGCCCAGCTTTTTAAGCCGCTCCGCATAGTGCATGTTTTCCAGACCTTTGATCATTTTACTTGCCCTCCTCTGGACACATTCCAGCTTGTCAATATCTCTCTTCAATTGTGGTGCCCAGAATTGGACACAATATTCCAGGTGTGGTCTAACCAAGGCGGAATAGAGGGGGAGCATGACTTCCCTGGATCTAGACACTATTGATGCAGGCCAAAATCCCATTGGCTTTTTAAGCTGCAGCATGACATTCCTGGCTCATGTTCCCCTTCCTCCCCACGAGGACTCCAAGATCTTTTTCACAGGTACTGCTGTCAAGCCAGGCATCGCCCCCCCCCCATTCTATATCTTTGCTTTTCATTTTTTCTACCTAAATTGAGTATCTTGCATTTGTCACTGTTGAACTTCATTTTGTTAGTTGGAGGCCAATCATCTCTCTAATCTGTCAAGATCGTTTTGAATTCTGCTCCTGTCCTCTGTAGTATTGGCTCTCCCTCCTAATTTGGTGTCATCTGCAAACTTGATGATTATGCCTTCTAACCCTTCATCTAAGTCATTAATAAAGATAATATAATATAATATAATAGGGGAGAATACGTTCGGACAGGTAAATCTGTTTTTGTATTTTTCCCAGATTTTTATTAATGCTGATGTGACAAAATGATTTCCATTTTTTTTCTCTACTTTCTTTTTTATCATACCACAGATATGGATTCCAGCCCGATCTCAAGTCTAAACCTTCCAATGTTAAAATTTTTGTATTTGTATTATCTGTTTTGATAATACAAGTTTGTTTGACCTTCTGGCAAACAAACTAGTCCAATATGGGCTAGACAAAACTACAGTTAGGTGGATCTGTAATTGGTTAAATGGACGAACCCAGAGGGTGCTCACCAATGCTTCCTCTTCATCCTGGAAAGAAGTGACGAGCGGAGTGCCATAAGCAGGGTTCCGTCCTGGGCCCGGTCCTGTTCAGGATCTTTATTAATGACTTAGATGAAGGGTTAGAAGGCAGGATCATCAAGTTTGCAGACGACACCAAATTGGGCGGGAGAGCCAATACTCCAGAAGACAGGAGCAGAATTCAGAACAATCTTAACAGATTAGAGACATGGGCCAAAACTAAAAAAAATGAAATTCAACAGTGACAAATGCAAGATACTCCACTTAGACAGAAAAAACAAAATGCAAAGATACAGAATGGGGGATGCCTGGCTCGAGAGTAGTACGTGTGAAAAAGATCTTGGAGTCCTCGTGGACAACAAGTTAAACATGAGCCAACAATGTGATGCGGCAGCAAAAAAAGCCAATGGGATTTTGGCCTGCATTAATAGGAGTATAGTGTCTAGATCCAGGGATCTAGATCATGCTACCCCTCTATTCTGCTTTGGTCAGACCACACCTGGAATCACACTGTGTCCAATTCTGGGCACCACAATTGATGGGAGATATTGACAAGCTGGAATGTGTCCCCAGGAGGGCGACTCAAATGATCAAGGGTCTGGAGAACAAGCCCTATGAGGAGCGGCTTAAAGAGATGGGCATGTTTACCCTGCAGAAGAGAAGACTGAGACATGGAGAGGGCCATATATAAGTATGTGAGAGGAAGTCATAGGAAGGAGGGAGCAAGCTTGTTTTCTGCTGCCCTGGAGACCAGGATGCAGAATAATGGCTTCAAACTACAAGAAAGGAGATTCCATCTGAACATGAGGAAGAACTTCCTGACTGTGAGAGCTGTTGAGCAGTGGAACTCTCTGCCCCGGAGTGTGGTGGAGGCTCCTTCTTTGGAGGTTTTTAAACAGACACTGTTATGAAGACACATACAGAGTGTTCCAGTTTCTTTCTTAAATTATCAAGCTAGTTCGAGGGCCGGTAGCAAACATATCTGAGAGTTAGATTCGACTGTTGTAGGGGGTGAGTGTAAGAGAAAGTCAAAAGCCCCCAAAATTTTAGCAAAGAAGCCACGTTTTTTTGGTCCCAGATAAAAGAATGGATGGACACTTTCCTCAGAGAATGGGACTCCTGAGATAACAGAGAGAAGATCTGCTGTTTCTGCATCATAAAAGGCCACCCGCCTACCGGAACAGTTCAGAGACACCCGTACTATGCTGGCCCGCCCACTCATGGAAGTGAAGTCAGGAACTGTATGTTCTCCCCTATAGTTCCCTGCAGCCCAGAAACCTTCCTCTGGACCACATTTAAACTGGCCTTTTCTCCTCACAGATTTCCTCGCCACTCCCACAGCCCAGTAGTCACTTTCCACTCTGACATCCCAGAAATATCTGCCTGCTGTGAATTCCTCATTTCCCAGCACAAACAAATAATGGTCAAATCTCTTTGGATTTGGGGGTAGACCTTTCGATTTAGAGTTTAGTTTCATACTTTTACGATCCTCCGACAAGATGATCCTTGGGTGAGCTGTGTCTGGATCCAAGGTCACATTTGCTGTTGAGAGAGAACAGAGAAGAAGAAAGAGGTTTAAGAGAGGTGATACCATCTGCGATAACTGGCTTAAGTTTTTGAAGTCTAAGCATATCACAGGAATTGAGAATCATAGAGTTGGAAGAGACCTCGTGGGCCATCCAGTCCAACCCCCTGCCAAGAAGCAGGAAAATCTAATCCAAAGCACCCCCGACAGATGGCCATCCAGACTCTATTTAAAAGCCTCCAAAGAAGGAGGCTTTTAAACAGAATGTGGCAGCATGTCAGCCTCCACCACACTCCAGGGCTAAGAATTCCACTGCTGAACGGCTCTCACAGTCAGGAAATTCTTCCTCATGTTCAGATGGAATATCCTTTCTTGTAGTTTGAAGCCATTGTTCCGCGTCCTAGTCTCCAACAAGCTTGCTCCCTCCTCCCTATGACTTCCTCTCACATATTTATACATGGCTATCATGTCTCCTCTCAACCTTCTCTTCTTCAGGCTAAACATGCCCAGCTCTTTAAGCCACTCCTCATAGGGCTTGTTCTCCAGACCCTTGATCATTTTAGTCCCTCTCCTCTGGACACATTCCAGCTTGTCAATATCTCTCTTGAATTGTGGTGCCCAGAACTGGACACAATATTCCCGGTGTAGTCTAACCAAGGTAGAATAGAGGGGTCTTTGAGATTAGGGAGCTCCCCTTTGTCTTTAAAAGACCATTACTCCAAACCTAAGCAGAATGTTGCAGCATGTCAGTCAGGGACAGAAAGTACCCTGGATATTGCTGACATAATTCATTTTTAATACAAACTAGCTGTACCTGCCAAGTGTTGCCAACTTCCCCTCCCTTTTTCTCTCCTTTTCTCTCTCTCCTTCCATCCTTCCTTCCTTCTCTCCTTCTTCCCTTCCTTCCCCTCCTTTCTTTCCCTTCCTCTTTCTCCCTTTCTTCCTTCTCTACCTATTCTTGGATTGCAACTCCCAGCAGTCCTCCTGATCTATTTTTATTTCTATCTATCTATCCATCTATCTATCTAATCTATCTATCTGGAGGATTGCTGGGAGTTGCAATCCAGGATTAGGAAATTGGAAATATACAGGGATTGGGATGCTCTCAAAGAAATCGAAGGAGAAGAAAGCTTGCAGCTTGGAAGCAGTGCATTTGGAGCCTCCTTCTCTCCTAAAGGGCCTGGTCTAGGGGATGCTGGGAGCTGCAGTTCAGAAGAGAGTATGGATATGCTATTATGTGTCTTGTTTGCCAGGGGAGTTGTTTTTGTACATGCGCGGTAGTGACATTTTGCTTTTTTGGTTTTTAAAATCCCTTCTATGTTTTTCAGTGTTTTTATAAGTGATGGTCACTCGTTGGCCTGATAGGTGTTATTGTGTCCAAATTTGGTGTCAATTCATTCACTGGTTTTTGAGTTATGTTAATCCCACAAAGGAACATTACATTTTTATTTATATAGATTGAGTATTCAAAATGCTTGGAACCAGAAGTGTTTTAGATTTCATATTCTGGTATACCAATATTTATGCCCTTTCCCCCCAAAATAAAACAGTGTGTTATATTAATTTTTGCTCCCAAAGATGTGCAAGGTCTTATTTTCAGGGGGTCTTATTTTCCCATGAAGAAGAATTCACATTTATTGTTGAACCAAAAAAATTGAACATTTATTATATACTGTACAATAGTTGTCAGTATATAATAAATATACTGGCCACCACACACAGGGCCACAAAAAAAGGGGGGCTGTAAAGTACCTGGCTGCCATACACTGTCTGGAGACTGTAAGGATCTCCCACAGCAGTTCCTGGACCACTTGTACAACAGGGATGGTATTGCAACTTCTGGCCACCAGGGGGAGCATGCTTCCAAACATAAACTTTGCTGGGTCTTACTTTCTGGGGAGGCCTTACATTTAGCAAATTCAGTAAAATCTCTACTAGGTCTTCTTTTCAGGGGATATCTTATTTTTGGGGAAACGGTATACATAACAATAATTTATCTTGGATAAATAATTTATCATCCCACCCAATGAAAAATTACCTTTCTGCAGCTGAATTCCAGAAATGAGCTTGTCTAAAGAAGGAAACAGGACAGAGATTAAATACTATGTAATATATGAACACGAGACTTTGCATATCCAAGAGTTAAAATAGTGTTGTTCAATAGTTCCACATCAGCACAAGGTTAAACATCTCCAAAATGGGTAATTCACACATAGTACCCAGTTACTGAATGAAACCACCTAATGAAGATGTTCATCTGCTGTGGCTGGAGCTACTCTGCTCTATTTCCCAGGATCTGAACCGAGATTAACTGCTTATTCCAAGTCATCTGGAGTGCCTTGGACCACGAGATCCAACCATTCCATACTTCAGGAAATAAAACCTGACTGTTCATTGGAGGGAAGGAAGGTAGAGGCAAAGATGAAGTACTTTGGCCACATCATGAGAAGACAGGAAAACTTAGAGAAGACTGATGCTGGGGGAAAAAGAAGGGAAAAGGAAGAGGGGCTGACCAACTGCAAGATGGATGGATGGATGGCATCCTTGAAGTGACTGGCTTGACCTTGAAGGAGCAGGGGGTGTTGACGGCTGGCAGGGAGATCTGGCATGGGCTGGTCCAGGAGGTCACAAAGAGTTGGAAGCGACTGAACGAATAAACAAGCAGCAACCCAGGTCATCTGGCAGTCCAGACTCATATAATCCAGTCAAGGGATCCAGCCTGTGTTATTCAAACAGTTTCAATTTCCTTTTAACATTAATAAGAGGCAGAGGTCAAGTGAGACTTCTTCAGCAGCTCCCATGCATATCTTTAGGCTACACAAACTGAAAAGTAATAATAGAACCATGACAGGCAATGCACGGCAAGGCAAACGTCAGCATGCTGGAAGAAGCAAAGACCACCAGCATTGAAGCGACGGTCCTCCAACATCAACTCCGCTGGGCCGGCCACGTTGTCCGGATGCCTGACCACCGTCTCCCAAAGCAGTTGCTCTACCCTGAACTTAAGAACGGAAAACGGAATGTGGGCAGGAAAAGAGATTTAAAGATGGCCTCAAAGCCAACCGTAAAAACTCTGGCATAGACACTGAGAACTGGGAAGCCCTGGCCCTTGAGCGCTCCAGCTGGAGGTGAGCTGTGACCAGCAGTGCATTTTCTAATGGGTGCACTCATAAATAACAAAAGGAAAGACGAGATTTTTCTAATAAATAGTGTTACAAATGACCAAACTGATACTACCAAACATCCCAAAACAAAACATGCCATTTTCAAATAATCCAGGCATCACCGGGTACCCAAGCTAGTATATGGTAAAAGTGTCCATCCAAAGAGTTTCCAACACATTCCAAGGCAGCATATTCAAATATATTCTTACTATTCCATGGACTCAAGCCTTAATACCCCAAAGGAGTGTGTCTTTAAGTTTCAAGCTGCAAAAAAGTGGGGAAAAATCTACATCTCCCTAACCTCATTGCATGCAATGTCCACTATAAGACTTGGGGGGATGGCAAAATATGTGATGGCAAATCAACTGAGTACAACTGATAAAAACTGACACATTTAAGAGTGTGATGAAGAGAGGAAAATCATCAATTTCATTTCAAAATGGAGTCTTACTGAGCTCTATCATAAACCTACTCTACCAAACACTTCCCTGTTTCAATGTGATGAAGTCCTATAAGAAACAGATGACTTGCAGGCATTCTCATAGCCTCCTCATATCCATACCTAGACTAATCGATGGGCAGAAAACATAAAGCAATGCTTTTCCACTTAATTTTCTTTACCTTTGAATTGTTTCATCACACACTTCATGAAGGAACTAATGTCACAGAATTCCCAAGTCCTCCATTTCACAGTAGGAGAAATACGATACTGCCGTTTATCAGGAAGATTCAACTCCTCTTGACATCTGCAAAAGAAACAAGCTCATAATCCACTAATCTAGAATTCTAAGAGGAGTATAAGAGGGAAAGACAAAGGCCTCATCTACACTGCCATATAATCCAGTTTCTGATCCCAGATGATCTGCTTTGAATTGGATTATATGAGGCTCTTTCTACACTGTCATATAACTCAGATTATCAAAGCACATTATCTGCTTTGAACTGGATTATATCAGTCTACACTGCCATATAATTCAGTTCAAAACAAAGAATCTGGATTTTATATGGCAGTGTAGAAGGAGACTGAGTTGACACTGTCAGATAATCTGGAATAAGCAGATAATCTGGGATCAGATAAGGGGATATAGGGCAGTGTAGATCCAGCCTCATATAATCCAGTTGAAAGCAGATAATCTGGGATGAGATACTTGATTAGATGGTAGTATATAACTAACCAGAGACAAGAAAGAAAACATCATGCAAATTTACTTCAGGGAGAAAAGAACCTATCTTTTATCTACTATGAGGAAATGCAAAAAACTGCAGACATGTGTCCCATCTACACTGCTATATACAATCCAGATTTTAACATGATTATATGTATTTTAATATTTTAAGTATTTTGTCAAAATATGTTTAGTAGGTGTATTTTAAAGAATGTTATTAGATGAATATGTGTGTTAGCAATATTGTAACCCACCTTGAGCCGTGAGGAGAGGCGGGCAAGAAATAATAACAATAATAATAATAATAATAATAATAATAATAATAATAATTTGATAAACAACAAGATTAGTACACAGCAAACAAGATCACTACGCTGGCTTTTGTATTCATGCAGATGTTGGACACTTCCCAAGTGTCTAAGACAGTGTGATGTATTGGCGAATAATGTGTGCAGATCCAGGTAAGGTGCCTTTTTGCAGATGGCAGATGGTAATTTCATTAGCGCCAATTGTTTTTAAGTGCAGGCCAAGGTCTTTAGGTACTGAACCCACTGTGCTGATCACCACTGGGACCACCTTTATTGGCTTGTGCCAGAGTCTTTGCAGTTCGATCTTTAAGTCCTCATATCGTGTCAGCTTTTCCAGTTGCTTCTCGTCAATTAAGCTGTTGGCTGGCATTACATCATCGACAATCCACACTTTGTTTTTTTCCACAGTTGTGAGCTCAGGAGTATTGTACTCCAAAGGGACAAATGCAAGATAGTCCACTTAGGCAGAAAGAAATGAAATGCAAAGATACAGAATGGGGGAAGCCTGGTTCGACAGCAGTACTAGCGAAAAAGATCTCAGAGTCGTCCTGGACAAGTTAAACATGAGCCAACAATGTCATGCGGCAGCAAAAAAAGCCAATGGGATTTTGGCCTGCATCAAAAGGGGTCTAGTGTCTAGATCCAGGGAAATCATGCTACCCCTCTATTCTGCCTTGGTCAGACCAGACCTGGAATCACACTGTGTCCAGAATTGAAGGGAGATGTTGACAAGCTGGAATGTGTACAGAGGAGGGGGACTGAAATGATCAAGGGTCTGGAGAACAAGCCCTATGAGGAGCAGCTTAAAGAGCTGGGCACATTTAGCTTGTAGGAGAAAAGGCTGAGAGGAGACATGAGGAGGGTCATTTATCAAGATGTGAGAGGAAGCCACAGGGAGGAGGGAGCAAGCTTGTTTTCTGCTCGCCTGGAGACTAGGATGCTGAACAATGGCTTCAAACTACAAGAAAGGAGATTCCATCTGAACATTAGGAAGAACTTCCTAACTATGAGAGCTGTTCAGCAGTGGAACTCTCTGTCCCGGAATATGGTGGACGCTCCTTTTTTGGAGGCTTTTAAACAGAGGCTGGCTGGATCTGTCGAGTGTGCTTTGTATTCAATTTTTCTGCTTCTTGGCAGGGGGTTGGACTGCATGGCCACAAGGTCTCTTCCAACTCTATGATTATATGAAAACTCTGTCAGTGTGAATTTGGAAGTCCCAAAATAGTTTGAAATGTTCATTTTGGAAGTCATGGTGAAGGGTGCACAGGTGTGGGGAAGAGGTTTTATTTTGTGGGATAGGGGTTTTGGGATGAGTGTATGGTCTGCTGTGTGTAAAATGCCATGTGCTGATTTTCTTAATGTTATGGAAAAAAATTGAATAGAAAGCTTTGACAGAAAGTAGTGGAAAACAGGCAGAAATAGCAAGTCTATGAGTATTAAGTTAAGTAACTGATAATAATTTGTACTCAATGTCAGAATTAAATGGTTGATTGTCTAAGGTAGATTGGCATGTACACATCAAAAATATTGTAATCTGATTATATCTGCCATGATTTGCTTTTCTGTTATGTGCCATAACAAAAATAAACAGTTTTTTAAAAAAGAAATGTTCATTTTGTGTAACTTTTTCAGGCTTGTGTTCCCACCAGTTTGTTGTCGTAGTCAGATGGTATTTGTAGCACAAGTTCCAGTGGATCATCTGAGCAACAGTATTATGCCTCTGCTTATAGTATGTCTGCGCGATCTTGCAGCAGCTGATCTATTGTTTCATCTGCTTCCTTGCAGAGTCGATCTGTCGTCAACTTTTCAATTCTGGCTTTGATGGCATTGGTTCTAATGGCTTGTTCTTGGGCTGCCAGAATCAGTCCCTCCATCTCCTTTTTCAAAGTTCCATTTGTGAGCCACATCCATTTTTTTTTTACTTGTTCAATTCTGCTCTCAATTTTTCCCCAGGAACTGTTCCTGGAGAGCCTTCTTTTGCCAGTTTTCATAGCACCTACTCTTTGTCTTTTGCACTTTCAGCTGTTTTCTACTACTGACTTCCATCAATTATTATTATTAGGCAGTGTAGACTCATAATCTAATTCAAAGCAGATAACCTGGGTTATATGCTTTCATAACATGGATTATATGGCAGTGCAGATCCAGCCATGTACAAACAGTCACAAAAGATGTCAGCAATGTCCTCTATTAAATCACTGTGGAGCCTCTCCTAGCTTGCGTATTTGACCTTATTCATAACTTTTGTAGAAGTGATATAGAAACGTGATGTTGTTGTTGTTGTTCATTCGTTCAGTCGTCTCCGACTCTTCGTGACCTCATGGACCAGCCTACGCCAGAGCTCCCTGTCGGCCGTCACCACCCCCAGCTCCTTCAAGGTCAGTCCAGTCACTTCAAGGATGCCATCCATCCATCTTGCCCTTGGTCGGCCCCTCTTCCTTTAGCCTTCCACTTTCCCCAGCATAATTGTCTTCTCTAGGCTTTCCTGTCTCCTCATGATGTGGCCAAAGTACTTCAACTTTGTCTCTAGTATCTTTCCCTCCAGTGAGCAGTCGGGCTTTATTTCCTGGAGGATGGACTGGTTGGATCTTCTCGCAGTCCAAGGCACTCTCAGCACTTTCCTCCAACACCACAGTTCGAAAGCATCGATCTTCCTTCGCTCAGCCTTCCCTAAGGTCCAGCTCTCACATCCGTAGGTTACTACAGGGAATACCATGGCTTTGACTAGGCGGATCTTTGTTGCCAGTCTGATGTCTCTACTTCACTATTTTATCGAGGTTGATCATTGCTCTCCTCCCAAGAAGTACATGTCTTCTGATTTCCTGGCCACAGTCTGCATCTGCAGTAATCTTTGTGCCTAGAAATACAAAGTCTGTCACGGCCTCCACATTTTCTCCCTCTATTTCCCAGTTGTCAATCATTCTTGTTGCCATAATCTTGGTTTTTTTGATGTTTAGCTGCAACCCGGCTTTTGCACTTTCTTCTTTCACCTTGATTAGAAGGCTCCTCAGCTCCTCCTCGCTTTCGGCCATCAGAGTGGTGTCATCTGCATATCTGAGGTTGTTAATGTTTCTTCCAGCAATTTTCACCCCAGCTTTGCATTCATCAAGCCCCGCACATCGCATGATGTGTTCTGCATACAAGTTAAAAGGTTGGGTGAGAGTATGCAGCCTTGCCGTACGCCTTTCCCAATCTTGAACCAGTCTGTTGTTCCGTGGTCAGTTCTGACTGCTGCTACTTGGTCCTTGTACAGATTCCTCAGGAGAGAGACAAGGTGGCTTGGGATGCCCATCCCACTAAGAACTTGCCACAATTTATTATGATCCACACAGTCAAAGGCTTTAGAATAGTCAATGAAGCAGAAGTATATGTTTTTCTGAAACTCCCTGCCTTTCTCCATTATCCAGCGGATATTGGCAATTTGGTCTCTCGTTCCTCTACCTTTTCTAAACCCAGCTTGAACATCTGGCAACTCTCGCTCCATGTTTTGCTGGAGTCTTCCTTGCAGGATCTTGAGCATTACCTTACTGGCATGAGAAATAAGGGCCACTGTACGGAAGTTTGAGCAGTCTTTCGCATTTCCCTTTTTTGGTATGGGGATATAGGTTGATTTTTTCCAGTCTGATGGCCATTCTTGTGTTTTCCATATTTGCTGGCATATGGCATGCATCACCTTGACAGCATCATCTTTAAGATTTTAAACAGTTCAGCTGGGATCCCGTCGTCTCCTGCTGCCTTGTTGTTAGCAATGCTTCTTAAGGCCCATTCAACCTCACTCCTCAGGATGTCTGGTTCTAATTCATTCACCACACCGTCAAAACTATCCTTGATATTATTATCCTTTCTATACAGATCTTCTGTATAGTCTCGCCACCTTCTCTTGATCTCTTCAGCTTCTGTTAGGTCCCTGCCATCTTTGTTTCTTATCATACCAATTTTTGCCTGAAATTTACCTCCAATGTTTCTAATTTTCTGGAAGAGGTCTCTTGTCTTTCCTATTCTGTTGTCTTCCTCCACTTCCATGCATTGCTTATTTAAAAATAGTTCCTTATCTCTTCTGGCTAACCTCTGGAATTGCGCATTTAACTGGGCATATCTCCCCTATCCCTGTTTCCTTTTGCTTTCCTCCTTTCTTGGGCTACTTCCAGTGTCTCAGCAGACAACCATTTGCCTTCTTGGTTTTCTTTTTCTTTGGAACGTACTTTGTTGCCGTTTCCTGAACAATGTCGCGGACTTCTGTCCATAGTTCTTCTGGGACTCTGTTTACTAAATCTAGTCCTTCAAATCTGTTCTTCACTTCCACTGTATATTCGCTAGGAATGTTAGTGAGATCATATCTAACTGGTCTGTGTATTTTCCCTGATCTCTTTAGTTTTATTCTAAATTTGGCAATAAGAAGTTCGTGATCTGAGCTACAGTCACCCCCAGGTCTTGTTTTCACCGACTGGATGGATGTCCGCCACCTTTGGCTGCAAAGGATGTAGTCAATCTGATTTCGGTGTTGACCATCTGGTGAGGTCCATGTATAAAGCCGTCTTTTAGGTTGTTGGAAGAGAGTATTTGTTATACACAGCGAGTTTTCCTGGCAAAATTCTATCAGCCTGCGTCCCGCTTCATTTTGTTCTCCCAGACCATGCTTGCCTGTGATCCCAGTTGTCATTTGACTTCCCACCTTGGCATTCCAGTCTCCTGTAATGAAAATAAGTCTCTTTTTGGTGTATTATCCAGTAGGTCCTGCAGATCCTCATAGAACTGATCTACTTCTGCTTCTTCAGCAGCTGTGGTTGGGGCGTATATTTGGAGCACTGTAATGTTGAAAGGCTTTCCTTGCACTCGAATTGAGATCATTCTGTCATTTTTTGGGTTGTATCCAAGCACCGCTTTAGCGAATTTCTTATTAATTATAAAGGCTACTCCATTTCTTCGATGTTCCTCTTGTCCGCAGTAGTAGATCTGGTGGTCATCTGATGTGAAGTGGCCCATTCCAGTCCATTTCAGTTCGCTGACCCCCAGAATGTCTATCTTTAGTCTTGACATCTCGCCAATAACCACATCCAATTTGCCCTGGCTCATAGATCTTACATTCCAGGTTCCTATGGTGTGTTGATCTTTAGAGCATCGGATTCGTCGTTCACCTCCAGTACCGTCGGCCGCTAGCCTTCCTTTCGGCTTTGAGTTAGCTGCGTCATCACATCTGGGGCTAGTTGAACTTATCCTCTGCTCCTCCCCAGTAGCATTTTGGCCATCTTCCGACCTGGGAGTCCCATCTTCCAATGGCATACCGACATATATCTGGTTGTACTGGTCCATTTAGTTTTCTTGGCAAGGATACTGGAGTGGTTTGCCATTGCCTTCCCCAGGGATCACGCTTGGTCTGACCTCTCTGCCACAACCGTCCCGTCTTGGGTGTCCCTTCACGGTTTCGCTCATGACATCATTGAGGTGCTCAAGCTCCAGCGCCCCGACATATTCAGTTTTATCATATTTATTTACTGTATTGTTATAAGTGTTTTATTTAACTTACTATAGAGTGTAATCATGTTTTATCAAGCCTTTTTATTTGGTTTGTTATTTTGATATAGCCTAAGGGCTAATCAATAAATTTCTTGAACAATGTCAGCAATGAGTAATGGAAATGAAAGGAATAATATATAGAAAGACAAATTCATTAGCAGCCTGAAGTCAGCCGCTCACATGCAAGATGCACTTACACTGTAGGATTACACCATGCCTTATCTACACTGCTTTGAACTGAGTTATATGTAAGTGTAGACTCAATGATGCTAGTGTAAACTGTTACAGATAAATAATATAAAATCATGGAACTTGTAGTTTGGTGCGGCATGAGCACTCTTTGGCAGAGAAAGTTAAAACTCCGTAAAACTACAACTCCCAGCTTTGAGATATGGCAGTCGTGTCCAACTGCATTAGTTCTACTGTGTAGTTGCACTCTTAGTATCCAACCCATTTTCAGTACAGGGAAACAGTGAGATCCACTTACCTTTGCCTGGTGTTTTCAATGTCCTAAGAAGAAAGAGACAGAAGAAGTGGCTTGTTCAGTACTTGCCAAAGGTTCTTTTAAGAATATTCTTACCCAAAGCGTGGATACTTTTTAAATGTGGAAATGTACAAATGCATGTCTGAACAGTGCTGTTTATGACAAGGGTTTTTAGCTCTCTCTCGTTCATCAAGTCACCATGAAGCAAAGCAAATTTGGCAGCAAATTATAACTATTATTACAACAAAACGTGATACAAGTTGAGTAACCCTTTTCCTGAATTGTGTGGGAACAGAAGTGTTTTGGATTTCTTCCCCTGTTTGTTGGAATACCCAAATCTAACTACAACATATGTGTAAGTTTAATATAGGCAATGCCCAGAGCTCATTTTATATAATATTTTAAATAATTCAATGCAATAATAATAATAATAATAATAATAATAATAATAATAATAATAATAATTTCATACCCGACCAACCATCTCCCCTAGGGGACTCGGGGCGGCTTACAAGGGACATGCCCAAGATTACAATTAAAACACACATGTTGACCAATTAAAACATCAGATAAAACAAATAATAACACAATTGAAAGCAATATAAAAACAATATGGCTGAAAGAAACATAGCTGAGCTATAGATTCAATGAGTGCAATACATTTTTACAGGAGCGCAGCAAAGTACAACAATACAGTAAACTGGGCAGCAAATAAAGTTTGTGTACAGTAAACCCCAGAAAGCAAACTTGTCACTATCTCAACTCTCCATGTGGATGTTTTTGGGTTTTGAAGCACAGTATGTCCTTGGATCTGTACAACTGGTATCAACAGTTTTATTTATCTATGTTTAGAGGCTTTTAAATTGAGGCTGAATGGCCATCTGTCAGGAGAAATTTGATTGTGCTTTTTCTGCATGGATGGGGGTTGGACTGGATATCTCTTGTGGTCTCTTCCAACTCAATGATTCTATCATAGGGCTGACATAAATCATAAATGTCTTGAAGGCACAGAACAACAACAAATTGAAAATGTAGGGATGCTATAGGAAGCAGGATGCTACAATTGGAATTATAATACTATAATTATGAGTAGATTCCAGGTTTAATTGGATGTTTCCAGTTTCTTATTTTTTTCTATTAAAACAAGTCATACCTGCAGGAACTCACTCACTGGCTTCTGACTCATTTTCTCTATCTCTGCAATGAGATTTTGAAATCTGGAGAGTTCCTTGGCCACCCGGGCCAGCTGCTCCTCTCTTTCCCTTATAATCTCCTTCTCCACCTCATGCAATTGGGCCAGCAGATGTTTCTCTTGTTCTTCCAGAAACTGATGCAGTTCTCTGAATTCTGCCACCATGTTTTCCCTTTCTGCTCTTGTATGCATCTGAAACAAAGAGATGGGGGAGGAAAAATAAATAGGATAGGGCATGCGTATCAAGTTTGCACATGACACCAAACTAGGAGGGATAACGGATACTCTAGAGCAGGGGTCCTCAAACTAAGGTCTGGGGGCCGTATACGGCCCTCCAAGGTCATTTACCTGGCCCTCACCCAGGTCAACTTAAATCTGAAACAACTTGAAAGCACATAACAATGACAACAATCCTATCTCATCAGCCAAAAGCAGGCCTACACTTCCCATTGAAATACTAATAAGTTTATATTTGTTAAAATTGTTCTTCATTTTAATTATTATATTGTTTTAAAGTGCTTTTTACACTACAAATAAGATATGTGCAGTGTGCATAGGAATTCATTCATGTTTTTTGCAAATTATAATCCAGCACTCCAACAGTTTGAGGGACAGTGACCTGGCCCTCTGTTTAAAAAGTTTGAGAACCCTTGCTCTAGAGGACAGGATCAGCATTCAAAATGACCTCAACAGATTAGAGAGCTAGGCCAAAACTAACAAATGAATTTCAGCAAGGACAAATGTAAGATACTACACTTAGGCAGAAAAAATGAAATGCAAAGATACAGAATGGGTGATGCCTGGCTCGACAACAGTCCACGTGAAAAAGATATCAGCCTGAGAAGAGAAGGTGGGAGGAGACATGACAGCTATATATAAATATGTAAAGGGATGCCATAAGGAAGAGGGAGCAGGCTTGTTTTATGCTGCCCTGGAAACTAGGATTAGGAACAATGGGTTCAAATTACAGGAAAAGAGATTTCATCTGAACACTAGGAAGAACTTCCTGAGAGCTGTTCAACAGCTGTTCAACAGTGGAATTCTCTGCATCGGTGTGTGGTAGAAGCTCCTTCCTTGGAAACTTTTAAACAGAGGCTGGATGGCCATCTGTCAGGGGTGCTTTGTTATTTTCCTGCATGGCAGGAGGTTTGGCTAGATGGCCCATGTAGTCTCTTCCAACTCTATTATTTTATGATTCTAAGTTGGCATACTGCTATCTTTTGCAGCATTTCAGGAAGATGATGCCAATTGTACAAAAAAGGTCACATCTAACATTTCATTAAAATCTCATAAAAATTTAGAGACAATGCAGTTCTCAGAGACTTTCAAAGATCTGCTCTTTTGTGACTATTTTATATTTGAACTGGGTGATCTTAGGCAAGTCTCACTCTCTTAGCCTCAGAGGAACACAAAGGCAATGCTCTTTTGAACAAATCTTGCCAGGAAGACCACATGATGAGTTAGAAATGACTTGAAGGCATACCATAACACATTTAGCATAGATACTTTTACGTACATGTGCACTTTACTTGAGTCATGCAAAGTTTCTGGGGCTGTGGACTTACTCAGAATTGAGTTTCTTTGGGAGAAGTAGATTATAATAATTCCTGGGTTCAAATGACAGGAAAGGAGATTCCACCTGAACATTAGGAAGAACTTCCTGACCATAAGACCTGTTCAACAGCCTCGAGTCACCTTTGGGCTGAGAGGGGTGGTATATAAATATGGTAAATAAGCAGTGAAACTCTCAGCCTCGGAGTTTGTTGTAAGCTCCTTCCTTGGAGGCTTTTAAACAGAGGCTGGATGGCCATCTGTCGGGGGTACTTTGATTGTGCTTTTCCTGCATAGCAGGGGATTGGACAAGATATCTCAAATCTATGATTATATATATTAGCATTATTTACACTTATAAACAGACTGAATATAAGATGAGTAAATAAATAGTGCAGTCACCCCACACATATCAATGGATTCAATAAAGGTGCAAAAATATTCATTTCCCCCAAAAAATTCAAAAAGCAAATTTTACCAGGGTTTGAATCACTGTCCCCAGCTGGAAACCCACTGGGGCCCCATCTGCCATATGACCGAGTTTCTGAATCCAGATTATCTGATTTGAATTGGATAATATGGCATAGTAGGCTGATATAATCCAGTTCAAATAAATTAATCTGGATTCAGAAACTGGCAGTGTAGGTGCGGCCTGAGTGATCCTGAGCAAGTCAACTCTCTCAGGTTCAAAAGAACATAGAGGCAAATGCCCTTGAAAGACCCCATGATTGCACTGCCTTATTTGTCTTTCTGGCATTACAGTTCTATATAATTTTCTTCCAGCACCACATTTCACATGAATGGTAAAGTGGAAGGAGAGCAATGACCAATCTCAATAAAATAGTGAAGAGCAGAGACATCACACTGGCAGCAAAGATCTGCATAGTAAAAGCAATAGTATTCCCCGTAGTAACCTATGGATGTGAGAGCTGGACCATAGGGAAGGCTGAGTGAAGGAAGACGCTTTTGAATTGTGGTGTTGGAGGAAAGTTCTGAAAATGCCTTGGCCTGTGAGAAGATCCAACCAGTCCATACTTCAGGAAATAAAGCCAGACTGCTCATTGGAGGGAAGAATATTAGAGGAAAAGAAGAAGTACTTTGGCCACATAATGTGAAGACAGGAAAGCTTAGAGAAGGCAATTATGATGGGGAAAATGGAAGGAAAAAGGAAGAGGGGGCGACCAAGGGCAAAATGGATGGATGGTATCCTTGAAGTGACTGACTTGACTACGAAGGAGCTGGGGGTGGCCATGGCCAACTGGAAGCTCTGGCATGGGCTGGTCCATGAGGTCACAAAGAGTTGGAAGCAATTGAATGAATAAACAACAAACCATATGCTTGAGTAGAGGCTTCTAGGGAAAGATCTTATTAACCAAAAAAGTTTATTCGGGTTTGGCAGATTTATTGTGCAGCTCAAAAAGGGTTGTTTTCATAGAGAACAGGGTGGAGGGTGGGCTGGACTAGGGGAAGTTATGCCTAATATGCTAATGAAAATTGAACTAATAGGAAGTTACTAGTGTTTGATGCCTTTAATGCTTTTACAGAGTTTTTAAAATGTGTGTTAATTGTTTTTAATTCTGTTTTAATTTTGTTTATGTTCATTGTGGCATTGAATTGTGCCAGTGTAAGCTGCCTTGAGTTGCATTTGGGCTGAGAAAGGCGGCATAGAAATGCAGTAAATAAATAAATGGCGACGGGGGGGGGGGGGGGAGCCTTGTTCAAAGACATTCTGAAGTTTCATCTTGACAAATGGGATAAAATCCTGCATATTATTTGAACTGTGTAATCAATAAATGTGCGGCGAAGTTAACACCTCTTTGCTTCCTAGTAAAATTGACACTTACAAGTAAGTTTTGGCCTTCCTGTTTTATCTTTTCTGTATTTGCTAGAATGTATTCTTCTCTTTTCTTTAGTTCCCATAAGTTTCCATGTAACTTCTCCTGAAAAGACACAAAAGTTGTTAGTTTGTTTTTCTACTTTTTTAAAAAAGAATTATTTCATATTTCTCCATTTCCAAGATGCCATCAATGGTTAGACACATATTAATTTCAGTACCACCAACAGAAAAAATGATACACGCAAACACACACACATAGGTATATGTTGGAAACTGCTTTAATTTCCCTTAGGGCAGTTTCTCAACCTGGGATCGCGAGAAGTGTCAGAAGAGTTGCCAAAGACCATCAGAAAACACAGTATTTTCCGTGGGAAGTTTGGCCCAATTCTATCATTGGTGGCATTCAGAATGCTCTTTGATTGTAGGTGAACTATAAATCCCAACAACTACAACTCCCAAATGTCAAGGCAAAAATGGCAAAAACTATGGGCATATAAAATATCAGGAAAATCTCCTATTAAGAGCATGGGACTCCCCAAAAGATTAGCAAATAACTTAGAAGAAAAGGGATTAAGGAGGGTAAAAGATATGTGGAAACAAAATGGAGAGATAATTAATTGGCCAGAGTTTTTGGAAAAAGGGGGAAAGGAGAATTGGTAAAAAATAAGAGGGATTTGAGAAAAGGTTACAAAAAGAGGTTGCACACCCCACTGAAGAATTAAAGGTAGATAAATTGCTAAACACAAGAGAAAAAACAAGTAAAGGAACAGTGGCAAAAATACAATTTAATGGTAGAAGATAAGGAGTTTATGATTACAGCAATACATAACAAATGGAGTGGGGTTAAATCATTACAGACACAAGAAATAGAGAAAATAATTAGGAACATGAATAAAATAAAAACAGAAAAATATAATGAATTAGAAAAAAGATGGTATTAAGATGGTATAGAACCCCTGAACAACTGGCTTATATGGTAAGAAAAAGGTACTTATTCACATATGTGGTGGGAGTGTTCTGAAATAAAACAATTCTGGCAAATGATACAAGCAAAAATTCAGGAGATATTGCAGATAAAAATTCAAATTAATAATAATTTGCTACTATGGGGAGTTTTGGATCACCCAAATATAACAATCAATTACCAGGAGTTATTGAAAGTAACAATAAGAGCAGCACATGCGGTGATCACTAGAGGATGGAAACACAAATCGAAATGGACATTAAATAATTGGAATGATTATGTGTATGATCAAGTGTTGTTAGTTATTATGGGAATTATGACTAAGCAAGCAACAAGAACGGATAAACAAAATGACATTACAAATAGGTGGAAGGTCTACTTCAACTGGGTGAAAAATGGAGGAGCCAACGATTGCATCAAAGAAAAAATACAAAGACTGCACCAGTGGCTGGATCTGCAAGATTAGTAGAAATAAACTGTGGTTGAGGAGGGAGGGAATGAAAAATATAATTTACATCAGTGTAAACTAGCATAATGCCATTAATATTTGTTGAACTATTCGAGATTTATGTTTGTAACACTTGGAATATGGTTTGCTGATTTGTGTTTATACCACAATAAAATATGGGTTTTTTTAAAAAAAAAATAGTTTGTAGCTGATAATCTAAATCAGAGTGTCCTAACATATCTTTAATATTTTGTGTTCTCTTATGGATGACTATAGGAAGGTTCCCACAGCCGGGTATATCACTTACAAGATTCCAGTATTTTTTCACAATTTTAATTACGTGTTTGGACAAGTTGGTTAATGTAAGAGGCCATACCAATCTATTGTCTCTGGGTTTCGTTTTGTCCCCCAAAAGGCTGGTTCGAGGACTTTTGGTACCTTGATGCTAGTTTTGTTAATGAGATGCTCTGGACAGCCCTGAACTTGGATCTGAACTGATCTTTAACTTTTTCAATACTAAGATTGTCTGAAGTGGCCCTGCTCTTCTCCCGCCTTCTTCACAGATGCATCTGGCGGGGAAGAGAGACAGGGCCTTCTCAGTGGTGGCCCCTCGGCTGTGGAAAGCCCTCCCTAGAGATATTAGATTGGCCCCTTGCTTTTTAATATTCTGTAAAAAAAAGTCAAAAGCTTGCTTTTTGAGCAAGAGTCACAAATGCAGTGTAACAGGCAAATATAGAACAACGGAATGATGTGATTTGGCATTGATTTTAATAAGGAGACGCTGGTGATATGTTTTATATGTTTTTATTGGTTCTGTTTGATTTTTATATTATATGGTAGATGTTTTAAAGTATATTTTATGGTATCTGGACATCAAATTGTTGCCAACTGTAAACTGCCTTGAGTTGCCTTTGGGCTGAGAAAGGCGGTATACAAATATGGTAAATAAATAAATAAATAAATAAATACGATTCTCGAGATCCTGTTGTTGGGTACAGTTGCGTTTAATTCCCAGCATTTATAAGATAGGTTATTTTTAGAGGTAAGCTGTGAAAACTGTTAAGGTAAAGGTAAAAGTTTTCTCCTGACATTAAGTCCAGTCATGTCTGCCTCTGAGGGTTGGTGCTCATCTCCATTTCTTTTTCTCCCCCCCCCCCCACCCGCCTGGAACAGCAATTTTAAATCATGTCATTGCATCAATTTAACAGTGTGGAAAGCCTGGTTCAAAATGCTATATCTGTTGTCTCCATCTATTTTGTCAATTAGCACAGACCATTTCCTAAAGCAGTCTTATTCTATTTGACTATTTATATACTTGTTTTTCCTTTGATTGATAAAATCATTAATTATATATTCTGATAGATAGGCCCACCAGGTTTTCAAATCCCATTTTGTATCATCTCTCCATCTCCAGGCTATCGTGGCCTGTATTGCGGCTGTCATATATTTTAGGATTTCTGTCCAATTATTATTATCTTCCTTTGCCTTTATGGTGAGGGACATGAATCTGGCTTTATCCCACATTAATTCTTTCCCTATTATGTCTTCCATTACCGTCCTTATTTTACAATAATAGTTCTGAATCTTTCTACAATCCCACCACATGTGGGAGAATGAACCGATCCCCCCACAGTTGTGCCAACATTTGTTTGAGCTATTTCCCATTATGTTTGCTAATTGGGTGGGGTTCTATACCTTTTGGAGATTATTTTCCTTTGGGTTTCTTTGACCCTCATATGTTTAATTTTATGAATATTGTCAATCCAAGACCCAATTAATTTCTCACTAAGTTTTTCTCTTGTTTCCAATTTTCTATAAGGGTTGTTTTTGTTTTGTAAGTTATAAATTTTTAACCTTGTGGATATATCTCGGAATTTCTTTCCCCATGTGTTAATCTCCATTTCTAAGCTGCAGAGCCGGCATTGTCCATAGACACCTCCAAGGTCATGTGGCCGGCATGACTACATAGAGTGCTGTTACCTTCCTGCTGGAGCGGTACCTATTGATCTACTCTCATTTGCATGTTTTTGAACTGCTAGGTTGGCAGGAGCTGAGGCTGACAGCAGGAGCTCACCCTAGAATCATAGAATCAAAGAGTTGGAAGAGACCTCATGGGCCATCCAGTCCAACCCCCTGCCAAGAAGCAGGAATATTGCATTCAAATCACCCCTGACAGATGGCCATCCAGACTCTGTTTAAAAGCTTCCAAAGAAGGAGCCTCCACCACACTCCGGGGCAGAGAGTTCCACTGCTGAACGGCTCTCACAGTCAGGAAGTTCTTCCTCATGTTCAGATGGAATCTCCTCACCCTGCTCCCCTGATTCAAACCTGTTATAATGTAAAAATGCATTCCTGTCTGTGAGTTTTCGATAATTATTGACAATCAATTTATTGTTGTTTTTAATGGCCAAAACATCTAAAAAAGCTATATTGTATTAATTCATATGCCCAGTAAATTTAATCTGAGGATGAATGGTATTAGCCTATATTAAAGGTGGAGGTGCCTTCTTTGGGGGCTTTTAAACAGAGGCTGGGTGACCATCTGTCGGGGGTGCTCTGAATGCGATTTTCCAGCTTCTTGGCAAGGGGGTTGGACTGGATGGCCCACAAGTTCTCTTCCAACTCGGAGTCTATGATTCTAAGGCAGCGTTTCTCAACCTGGGGGTCGGGACCCCCAGGGGGGTCACAAGGAGATGTCAGAGGGGTCACCAAAGACCATCAGAAGACACAGTATTTTCTGTTGGTCATGAGGGTTCCATATGGTAAGTTTGGCCCAATTCTATTGTTGTGAGGTTCAGAATGCTCTTTGTTTGTAGGTGAACTATAAATCCCAGCAACTACAACTCTCAAATGTCAAGGTCTATTCCCCCCTCCCCAAACTCCACCAGTGTTCACATTTCGGCATATTGAGTATCCGTGCCAAATTTGGTCCAGATCCATCATTGCTTGAGTCCACAGTGCTCTCTGGATGTAGGTGAACTACAACTTCAACGCTCAAGGTCAATGTCCACCAAACCCTTCCAGTACTTTCTTTTGATCATGAGAGTTCTGTGTGCCAAGTTTGGTTCAATTCCTTCATTGGTGGAGGTCAGAATGCTCTTTGAATGTAGGTTAACTATAAATCCCAGGAACTACAACTCCCAAATGACAAAATCAGTTACCCCCCGCCCCAACCCCACCAGTATTCAAATGTGGACATAGCATGTATTTGTATAAAATACATCCTGCATATCAGACATTTATATGATGATTCATAACAGTAGCAAAATTATAGTTGTGAAGTACCAACGAAAATAATTTTATGGTTGGGGGTCACCACAACATGAGGAACTTGTATTAAGGGGTCGCGGCATTATGAAGGTTGAGAAACACTGTTCTAAGGTCTTTCACCTCTTTTGTCAAAGAGTGCTGGTGCCTCACTCCAGCTCCCTGGATTGCACAGCACTGTGTCATGGCAGTTCAAGTAATGTCAAGCTGCATTAATTCTGCAGTGGAGATGCACCCAAGGATGGAAGCTTCCCTACCTTCAACTCTTGGGCAGCCTCTTCTGCAGGAACCACCTGATGATCTTTGTGCTCCTTGGCCCGGTCGCAAACCACGCAGATGGGGCTCTGGTCCTCCTTGCAGAAGAGCTTGAGGGGCTCCTGGTGCTTCTGGCAGAGCCTTTCCTCCCCCCGGAGGCTCAGTTTCTTGGTCAATTCCACGAAGTTGGCCAAGGCCCGGTTGGGGATGAGCTGCTGTGGCTGCGCTCTCGCCCTGCACTGGGGGCAGGAGGCCTTTTGCTTCGAGGGCCCCCAGCATTGGACTAGGCAGGCACGGCAGTAATTGTGCCCACACTCTACAATGGTCACCGGATCCCTGAAATAGTCCAGGCAGATGGGGCAAGTGGCCTCCTGGCAGAAATTCCCCACTGGATTTCCAGAAGCAGCAGCCATGGCTCTCACTTTTTCTTTGAACAGCAAAGTTGGTTTCACTTTCTCTCTTTACAGAAGCTGGGCGAGGCTTCCCTTTGCTGGAAATCACACCGAATCTTTGCTGAGTTCAAACCATGCCTGTGTCATGTGGGGTAATCTGCTCAATTCAGGCAAATCCCATCCACCCTGCCCTATAACCCAGTTTCTGAATCCAGATCATCTGCTTTGAACTGATTATATGGCAGTGAAGACTCAGCCAGTTTTAAAATTGGGTTGTTGTGAGTGTTCTGGCCATGTCTGGCCATGTTCCAGAAGCATTCTCTCCTGACATTTCACCCACATCTATGGCAGGCATCCTCAGAAGTTGTGAGGTCTGTTGGAAACTAGGCAAGCAAGGTTTGTATATTTGTGAGAATGTCCAGGGTGGGAGAAAGAACTCTTGTCTGTTGGAGACAAGTATGAATCTTGCAATTGGCCACCTTGATTAGCACTGAATGTCCTTTCAGCTTCAAGGTCTGGATGCTTCCTGTCTGGGGGAATCTTTTGTTGGGAGCTGTTAGCTGGCGCTGATTGATTCTTGTCTGGAATTCCCCTGTTTTCTGAGTGCTGTTCTGTCTTTAATGTCCTGATTTTAGAGTATTTTTAATACTGGGAGCCAAACTGTGTTCATTTTCGTGGTTTCTTCCTTTCTGTTGAAATTGTCCACATGCTTGTGGATTTCAGTGGCTTCTCTATGTAGTATGTAGTCTAATGTGTTCCCTTTCAGTTTTCTTCTCTCTGTCTCTGTGTCTCTCTCTCTCTCTCTCTTGCTGTCTCTCTCTCACACACACACACACTGTGCTGGTACAGCTGTACCAGAAGCTCCCACTGTATTTGCCTTGTATTAAATGTTTGCTGGCAGTCCAAGGCTTGGGTTTCTGCAGCAGGGTGGCTTCCTGTTAAAGTTTGCAGTTATAGGGCAGGCCACCTGTCCATCATCATTAGGTTCCTTAGTTCCGCCCCCTTTTGGGTTTTCAGAAGGGAAGGGAGCCATTTTGGCTCAGTCACACACAAGGAAGCTGGTCTATAGGATGCAGACAGCACATCACGTAGGAAAAGCTTCATTTCTCAAGACCTTCCGGGGATCATCCGATGATCATCTGGGGATCATTCAGGGAAACAGAAGGAAAAGATCCCAAAGGCTCTGGCTGAGAGCTCACAGCCTCTCAGCCTCACAGCACCAGAGGGGAAAACAGCCCTGAAGTTCCCACAGGACAGCATTACAGAACCACTGAATTCCAGCTGAAAGATCTTCAAGCCTTGGCTGGTAGGTTTACTCGATGTCCAGACGCATTTGGGATCGGTAGTAAGACCCAGACCAGCGAGGCCCAGATGATAGACAGCCTGGGAGAGATTATAAAGGGTTCTTCCTCATGCTGAGAAAGTACAGTAATCCAAGTCAGTGCCAGTCTCTTAAAGACTAGAATAAGAAAGCCTTGAAGGGTTGTTTGAAGACTGGTTATTTGTTCCTTAATAAAGACTTTGTTGTACCATTAAAGACTCTAAAGACCATCACTTCAAGAATTCCCTGACAATCTCTCTTTGTGGCACCCCAGCTTCTCACTGGGTTAAAGTATACGTCCTATAGAATAAAGACAATTTGTTCAAACCAAGTGCACGACAGAACACACATGCACATGCTTAAAAAATGTCTTGTCTTTTAAGAAATAGTTTTCCCCAAAAACAAAAATAGCTTTTTATGGTAAGCTAGAATGGGCTTTCAGTCATTCAAATGTCATTTTTTTCTAATTTTGTTAACAATAAAGCCAGTGTTGAAACCGTAATGACTGCATCTTAATGAATGCAACATCCTTTATACAATTTTCATTTCTTTGGATGTGTTTGACAAGATTCTTTAAACAGGAATTTAGATCCCAGAATTCCCATGTTGTTTAGGGCTTTATAGATGATAACCTGCACTTTGAATTAGGACTGGAAACTTATCGGCAGCCAATGGAGCTGCTTTAATTGGGCCATCGTGTGCTCCTCATAGTTAGCTCCAGTTAGGAGCCTGGCTGCCAGTCTTTGCACCAATTGCAGTTCCCGAGCCGTCTTGAAAGGCAGCCCCATGTAGAGTGCATTGTAATAATCCAGTCTAGATGTAACTAGGGCATAGACCACCATGGCCAAGTCAGGCTTTTCGAGTATGGTTGCAGCTGGCACACAAGTTTTAACTGTTCGAAAGCCCTCCCGGCCACTGCCAACACTTGAGCTTCAAGTGCCAGTGCTGAATCCAGACTGTGGACCGGTGTCCTCAGGGGGAATGTAACCCCATCATGCACAGCTAACCACCCTATGCCTTAATCAGCCTTGCGACTGACCAGAAGGACCTCTGTCTTGTCTGGATTAAGCTTCAGCTTGTTAGCTCTCATCCGGTCCATCACAGCTGCTAGACACTGGTCCAGGATCCGGGTGGCAGAGATCACAGGGCAGGATCAGAATTCAATTTATTGCTTCATTCACCAAAGCAAGATGTTATGGGAAATCTCACAAATCAGATGCATATCACAGTTACAAGCATTGATGTTTTATGTAAAACTGAAAGACATTTGAAAGAATATTTGCTGGTGTAAATTATGATCTGCAATCCTATTGGTTCAAAGGTGCATTTATTTACAGTTCGTTATTGATGCATAGTATTACAGGAAAATTAAAGCTCTTATTGGAAGAATTCTTGAGTCTGTCTCCTGTATTCATACTGCCCCTTTCAGTCTCCAGGTTGCACATTAGTCCAGGATGGGATTATCTTGGTAAACGATGCTTGTTGAAAAGCATCAACAAGCAAAGAACAAGGTTTCTGAGATAGGACAATAGGTGATATTTTCAAACAGATGAGTTTAAGGTCCCAAGGGAGACATGTATTATGAGGAGAGATGAGAATGTGAAGTTCTCAGAGCTTATCTGGCCAAGGGCTGTAGCTCACACATTTCAGTGTTTGTAAAATATTGGGAAAGGAACAAATTGCTAGTGAGTCATTCTCACTCAGTCTTGCAAGCTGAGCAATGTACCTTGTGGTTATTTCTCGACCTCAGCTTCTTTACTTTCTAGAGGTGGTGCTAGGAGACTCCTGTTTAGTGTCCTTGCCATTAGCTTAGAAAGTTACTCAGGATTCTGTTTTGCTCCCATATTACTTAATATATACACGAAACCCTGGGAGAGGTTGTACGGAGTTTTGGGGTGCAGTGTCATCAATATGTAGATGACACCTAACATTACTACTTTTTTTCCACCCCCATCTAAGGAGGCTGTCTTGGTTTTAAACTGGTGCTTCTCACCAATAATTGATTGGATGAGAAATGCAATCCAGATAAGGCAGAGGTAATCCTGGTCAGTTAGAAGGCAGATCAGAGCATAGAGATTCAGCTTGTGTTAGATGGGGTTATATTCCCCCTGAAAACATTGCATTGTAGTTTTGGTGTACTCCTGGACCTAGCTTTTGAAGCATGTGTGCTTACTGCTCCCATTCCTTAAGACCTCAGATCTGGCCATGGAGATGCATGCCATAGAATCACACAATTGGAAGAAATTCCAAGGGCCATCCAGGTCTCTGGGGAGAGAGTTCCAAGGTCCAGGAATAGCCTATGAAAAGGCTGTCTTGCTCCCAATAAATAAATCTGAAAAGACTAGAGAGGATTCTCCTAGCACTAACAACAACAACATATTATCCCTTGTGATTTGAGGTGGGATACAACAAAATTAAAACGAGATAAAAACAGTATTAAAAGATATACAATAATAATACATAATACACAGTGTTTAACAGCAAGTTAAAATCCACCAATAAAATCCAGATTAAATTCACAAATTAAAATTGACTGGATAGGCCTGCTGGAAGAGATGGGTTTTCAGTTTTGTCTTAAATTCCGACAGCTGATCTACCTGTCAAATGTCTTCCGGCAGATCATTCCACAGAATGGAGTAGAAGGCCTCCAGAGGACCTAAGTGTTCAATGTCGATTGTACAGGAGAAGGTGATACTGTATGTAACCAGGACCCAAACCATGTAGATATCTCATGGGCAAATAAAAGGAGATACAGTATTACAAATAACTCTGATAACCAAGAGAAGTAGAACTAAGGATCATATCACAAAGGAGAAAATGGCGCATCTGACACTCCATGCATACGAGTTTGAAGGCTGTGACCACATTCTCCCTGTGGCTTCAAACATAATTGAACAACATACCGTGTAGATTTTCTTTCTTTAATTGATTTTTAAGGCAAGCAATGTGGTTTACAATTAGAATGGTATACATCCAAAAAAATAAAGAGACATTGGGGAAAATAACTAGCACACAATAGGCTCTACCCCTCCATCTTGATTGCAATGAAAAGAAAAGAAAAACATATAATAGATCTAGTAAGACAAACAATCTTACTAAAATTACTTAACACCATAGCCATGGATTACATTGTTAGATTTATTATTACTCAAAAAACTATAAACAGTTTCCAATTGTTCAAAAAATCTTCAGTTGCCTCATGTTAACCTTCAGCTCTCATGTTAATTTGGCCATTTGGGCCACCACAGTTCAAAAGCATCTATCTTCCTTCACTTAGCCTTCCCTATGGTCCAGCTCTCACATCCGTAGGTTACTACAGGGAATACCATTACTTTGACTATGCGGATATTCGTAGCCAGTGCGATGTCTCTACTATTTCACTATTTTATCGAGATTGGTCATTGCTCTCCTCCCAAGAAGTAAACATCTTCTGATTTCCTGGCTGCAGTCTCCGTCTGCAGTCATCTTCACACCTAGAAATACAAAGTCTGTCACTGCCGCCACATTTTCTCCTTCTATTTGCCAGTTATCAATCATTCTTGTTGCCATAATCTTGGGTTTCTTTATGCAACCCAGCTTTTGCACTTTCTTCTTTCACTTTGATTAGAAGGTTCCTAAGCTCCTCCTCGCTTTCGGCCATCAAAGTGGTATTATCTGCATATCTGAGGTTGTCAATGTTTCTTCCAGCAATTTTAACTCCAGCCTTACATTCGTCAAGCCCCGCACTTCGCGTGATGTGTTCTGCATACAACTTGAATAGGTGGGGTGAGAGTATACAGCCCTGTCTGTTGTTCCATGATCAGTTCTGACTTGCTACTTGGTCCTTATACAGATCCCTCAGGAGAGAGACAAGGTGATTTGGTATCCTCATACCACCAAGAACTTGCCAAAATTTATTATGATCCACACAGTCAAAGGCTTTAGAATAGTCAATAAAACAGAAATAGATGTTTTTCTGAAACTCCCTGCCTTTCTCCATTATCTAGCGGAAATTGGCAATTTGGTCTAGTTCCTCTGCCTTTTCTAAACCCAGCTTGAACATCTGGCAACTCTCGCTCCATGTATTGCTGGAGTCTTCCTTGCAGGATCTTGAGCATTACCTTACTGGCATGAGAAATAAGGGCCACTGTACGGAAGTTTGAGCAGTCTTTCGCATTTCCCTTTTTTTGTATGGGGATATAAGTTGATTTTTTCCAGTCTGATGGCCATTCTTGTGTTTTCCATATTTGCTGGCAAATGTCATGCATCACCTTGACAGCATCCTCTTTCAAGATTTTAAACAGTTCAACTGGGATCCCGTCGTCTCCTGCTGCCTTGTTGCTGCTATCATGTAGAAAAAAAGTTATCTATATTTCCCCTCCAGTGTTTTACCGTGAATGTCCAGCAAAATATTTCTGGTACCATTATAAGATGAAGGTTTGATTTTTTAGGGATTAACATATACATATTAGGCCAGTAAGTTTTCACCATCTCACAACGTATGAACAAAATACTCCAGAAGACAAGAGCAGAATTCAAAATGATCTTAACAGATTAGAGACGGGACAAAACTAAGTCCCCATTGAACTTCAAAACAAACAAAAAAAGAAGTTCAGAATCATGGGAAAATCTGCTTTTTTCACCCAGAACCAGGATAAAGGAGAACCTTTATGAATCAGGTTTCCCTTCCATTGCTACGATTGAGTGCGCATTTAGCACAAACGTTATCTGGCCGCCCCCTTTTAACCTGTTCTCCTGAATTCTAGGTATTGGGTGGAAGCTCCCTTTGACTGTCATGGGTCTATGTTATGGGATCCTGGGATATGTCGTTTAGTGAGGCACCAGCACTTATTGACAGAAAAGGTTCATGGCCTTGTAAAACTACAGCAGCCATGATGCCATAGCATTGAGCCATGGTAGTTCAAATGGGATCAAACTGCATTCATTCTGCAGTGTAGATGCACCCTCAGACACTGAGTCAGTGTGATGTAGTTGTCTGGGTTCTCAACTATAAATCTGGAAAACCAGCATTCAAATTCCAGCTTGCTGTTCCAACCCACTGAATGGCAAGTCACAGTCTAAGAATGGCCATGACAAATCTTATTTATTATTTATTTGCCATACTTGTACCCCGCCCTTCTCTACCCCGTCAGGGGGACTCAAGGAGGCTTACAATGGCACAACGTCATGTCTCAACAAAATCGCCTAAACATTTCAAAAATTGCAACATATTAAACAGAGTTAAAGCAGATTTTAAAAAGTTAAAAACTTAGAATCTTGGCAAGGTATAGTCAAAGATAACTTGAAGGCATACAGCAGGGGTCCTCAAACTAATGCCCAAGGATCGGTTATGGCCCTCCAAGGTCATTTACCCGGCCCTCGCTCAAGGTCAACCTAAGTCTGAAACGACTTGAAAACGCACAACAACAATCCTATCTCATCAGCCAAAAGCAGGCCCACACCTCCCATTGAAATGCTAATAAGTTTATATTTGTTAAAATTGTTCTTCATTTTAATTATTGTATTATTCTTTAGTGTTTTTCTGCGCTACAAATAAGATATGTGCAGTGTTTATAGGAATTCATTCATTTTTTTTTCAAATTATAATTTGGCCCTCCAACAGTTTGAGGGACTGTAACCTGGCCCACTGTTCAAAAAGTTTGAGGACCCCTGGCATAGATACTCCACTTAGACAGAAAAAAGGACATGCAAAGATATAGAATGGAGGGGGGATGTCTGGCTTGATAGTAGCGCATGTGAAAAAGATTTCCCTTGTGGACAACAAGTTAAACATGAACCAACAATGTCATGGAACCCTACTTTATCCCTCTTTGTAAAATAAGCATAGTAAATTTATAAAGTTCTTCCCTTTTTCATCAACCCCTATTGCCTGATGTTTTGTATAATGTGCTATATTTTGAAATGGATAGGAAACATTTAAAATATAATCACTAATGCTTTTTGTACAAGTAAATATTGGATTTATACCTAATGTGAGATAAAATGGTCTTAAAATATTTTGAAATTGGGCTTTATGCTTGACAGTTGAATATGTAAATATAGGACAGCCTTTATTTGACTTTTAAATTCACGTTTATTTTATTTATTCATTTATTTCAAAGTTTTCTATACCGAGCTTCTCACCTCTTAGAGGGACTCAGCCCGGTTTACAACCATAAAAACATACAATCAGTAAAATATCATAGTTCATAATTACAATAACACATTTAAAATAACAACTATATTTAAAACTACGGTGGTCAGTTGTCATATTAAAAACAAGTATACCTTTGGTGCAAGCATCAGTTGAAAAGGCTTTTGGATATTGTCTGTGCTCCCCTTTCCTTCTCATTAGAATCAAATAGTTAGTTGTTTGTAGTTTTATTTTAAAATCTGTTCTAAATTTGATTTTTAAGACTTCTTATGGAGGCCCTACTATGCTTTTGCAGCATTTTAGGGTTCCACAGAATACCATTTGGGAACCGCAGCACAAAAGCACTACCTCTGCCCTTTACAGGAGGTAAATCCAAAGCATTAATCCATTTTGTAATCTTGCAGGATTTGTAGACAACTTGTTTGCCTACATTAAGGAGAAATCCTCACATAGCCTTCTTCATACACATTAAAAAAAGGAAGAAGTGTCTCTCCTATGAATGGAGCCCCAGAGAATGAATAGAGATGGACTCCTGTATCAGCATCGTAAAAGGCCACCTGGCCCCCAATATAGTTCACAGACACTCGAACCCTTTTGAGCTCACTGTTCAGAGACAGAGGTGTGAACTCAGGATCGTTAGTAACCTTATATGCGCCATCCCACTTCCCTATAGCCCAGATTCCCCCCTTAGGCCCAAAGACAATGTCGCCCTTTCTCTCTATAGACTTTCTGGCAACTCCTACCAGCCACTGGCCCTCTTCTCCCACACAGATTTCCCAGAAATGTCTGCCTGATGTAAATCCATCACATCCCAGGACAGAAAAAGTTTTCTTGAACCTCTTCGGTTTGTCCGGCAAGTTTTGAGATTCGTCTCCATATGTTACACTTTTACGATCCTCAGACAGGATAAGGTGGTCATGAGCTGTGTCCGGATCCAAAGTTACAGTTGCTGTTGAAAATGGGGAGAGGAGGAAAAGATAAAAAAAGAATCACCATCTAGGTGAATTATTAACACATGCTAGACACATCCATTAGTCTCAGTCAGTCTCAAGTCAACAGGATTTCCATGCATTGCAGTTAATTTTCTTTGATTTAAATCCTGCTTTGCTCCCAAATTTGCTTATACCATATATGCAGTTTGTGGAGGCTCTCTGACTGATACTTCAGAATACCTCTATCTCAACAGCAAATCCCAGAATTCTGCAGAATGTTGCCATAGCAGTAAAAGCAGAACCATAGCACTATAATTGTGCAGTGTGAATGGGTCCATAGTGTAGACTGGCAATCCCCTGTGAGAACACTCCTGCTGGATCCATTGGGCAAGAGCTATGGCATCACCTTCCTCCATCCAGACGGGCACCATGGGCTTGCATCATGCCCAGTTTCCCTTCTTTCTTGCCTTTTTCTTCTTCTCATCCATTCTCAGCTTGTAAACTATTTGACTGTGATATAGTTCATTGAGGTACCACTAGTCTAGAAACCTTTAACATTTAAGGTTGCCAGAAAATCTATGGAAAGGGCAACATTGTCTATAGGCTTGAGGGGGGAATCTGGGCTATAGGGAAGTGGGCTAGTGCATATAGAATGGGTTGGTTCAGGGCTCCAAGTTAATGAAACATGAACAATGTTTAAAGATCCCACAATCCTCTCAATTACCCAGCTGTTTGTTATCAAATGGCTGGTGCTCTTCCAGTCTCCCACAGGAACTCTTTTATGTAGGAGCAGATATGTGTTGTCAAGGGCTTTCATGGCTGGAATTAGTGGGTTGCTGTGAGTCTTTCGTGCTATATGGCCATGTTCCAGTAGCATTCTCTCCTGGCATTTTACCTGCATCCGTGGCTGGCATCATCAGGAGTTTCTGTTGGCAGTGAAGCAAGTGGAGTGTATATATAATCTGTGGAATATATATACACACACATGCACATAGACACACTCCACATATCAAGACCTTCCTGACAATTTGGAGAGGTTAGACGAGTGTGCTTCTATCCTAGGATGTAAAGTATTTTCAACAGGCAGACATTTCTGGGAAATGTATACACAGATCAGCTATCTGTTTGGGAAGTGTTAACTGGGAGTTGAGTGTTTGCTGTGTGGAGTTCTCCTGCTTCCAAGTAAACAATCAAGTGCCACTTAACACCTCCCAAACAGAGGATGCCTCCAGGCAACAGAGCCCAGGCTACTTCACTTATTGACTTTGCAAACTTCATGGCTACTCACTGCTATTCAAGCTTGCTAACAGGAACATTTTCACTTGCTTTAAACAGACAAGGTTCTTTCTCCCACCCTGGACATTCCACAGGCATATATACACTCCACTTTCCTCACTGTCAAGAGAACCTCTGAAGATGCCAGCCACAGATGCAGGTGAAACATCAGGAGAGAATGCTGCTGGAACATGCCCATACAGCCTGAAAAACCCACAACATCCTAGGAGCAGATAGGTTTTTTTTTTGCCTAAGGCCAGGGCCCTCTTTAGCCCTTGCTCTGTTACAGGTAGTCTCACCAGTTCCTTCTCATAGGATTCATTGGTGGCTTTCCATTCAAGTATTAATCAGGGATGGCCTTGCTTAGCTTCTAATGTCAAATGGAATGTGATGCCTTTGGGGGTATTTAGGCTTCCATGCATCATCCCATGCAGGTTCTCTAGCAGTATAGGAGTTGTAGTTCACCTACATCTAGAGAGCACTGTGAACCCAACCAACGATGTATCTAGACCACAGACCCAACATGGGCAACTGTGAATACTGGCTGGGTTTGGGGTGATTGCCTTGAGAATCTTGGAGTTGTAGTTTATCCTTATCCAGAAAACAGTGAACCCAGCAAACGATGGATCTGGGACAAGTTTGTCACACGGAACCAACATGGCCAACTGTGAATACTGGCAGAGTTTGTGGGTGATTGCCCTGGGAATCTGGGAGTTGTAATTAACCCTTATCCAGAGAGCACTGAACCCAGCTGATATCGGATCTGGACCAAACTTGGCACACAGACCCAACATGGCCAACTTTGAATAATGGCAGGGTTTTGGAAGGCTTGACCCATGATTCTGGGAATTGTAGTTCACCCACATCCTTATGCATTTTCTAATGGGAGCATTCATTTAAAAAAGGAAGATTTTTTTCCTAATAAATAGCATTATGTATTACTAAACCCGGGCATTGCCGGGTCCCCAAACTAGTTTAGTAATAAATACAGGGAATCCATGAAACCTTGGGTATTGGCAATGTCAAAGTGCAATCCCATCATTATGCCTCCACTGATGGAAATAGTTTGTTTTCTGAACTCTAAATGAAAATGCAAGCAGAACTGGGACCTCTAGTGAACAACCAACAAGCAACTCTCTGAGAAGCCTTTTTGAGAATTTGTGTTTCCAAATCTTACCTTTCTGTAGTGTAAATCCAGATTTTAACTCATCTGTGGAAGGAAAAGGGAGAAAGGTAATATGTCGCATTGTCAGGTGTTACAAATCCTGTGTCCAAAAAGAATGCATAAGTATAACAACATAATAGTTATCTACATGTTTTAACTGAAATCTCTGAACTGCTGTATCCTTGCAAGTATGCAGATTTGTTTAGGTGAATTCTAATGTGAATTCTTTCAGCAGTCCTAGCGATCAGGCTGCTCCTGGATTTTGAAAATAAAAGAGTTGTAAAAATCACTGAGATTACTGAGTAAATATTTGGTCATTTATTCTAAGAAGCACTCAAAGAAAAAAAAGCAAGGAAGAAAGAAGGACTGTGAGGGATGGAGAGCAGAGAGAAATGAAAGTATTTCTTCAAATAACATTTAAATGACACAGGTTCCTTATTCTTGCAGGCATTTTCTTTACCTCTGACTTGTTTCATGATAACTTCCAGAAGCAGAGCTATATCTCCATAGTCCAAGATCTTCCACTTCAACTCAAGAGGAAAAACATCAGGTTTCTTGAACTCCTTTCTTGCTTCACACCTGAAAGGAAGGGATGTTAACTCACCACTCTGAACAGCTAGTCTATATTCTGTTACCAATCCAGTAATGGCTAGTGAAACCTGATATTTTCTGTAATACCATTATGTGTGGAATTTTCATACTTCCACTCCATCACCTGCTATGTGCAAGAATTATGGAAAGGGACTTCTTAGGTCCCTTCTACACTGTCATATAAAATCCAGATTATCTGTTTTGAACTGGATTATATGGCAGTGTACACTCATAATCCAGTTCAAAGCAGATTATTTGGATTATCTGCTTTGGTAATCTGGATTATATGGCAGTGTAGAAGAGGTCTTATCTTAGAGGCAAAATCACTGCCCTAATGTGAGGCCACATGAGCTCTACAACAGCCTCTTTGAGCCTAGCTATTCTTTTTATTAGAATAATTATATAATAAAGGCAATCCCGTAGGTTCCCTGGACCCAAACCATGTTGGGCTTTAAAGGTTAAAACCAACACCTTGTACTTTCTCCAGGAATCAATCTCCAGAAACTAATCACCCATTATAGGAACATGGGATTTTGATAACAGAATATTTAAAGCAAGAAAACAATAAGATAAGAAATGAGGGTTCTTGGAGTTCTTGGAGAACGGGAGAAGTTCCAGCAGACTGGAGGAGGGCCAATGTGGTCCCAATCTTCAAGAAGGGAAAAAAGGATGACCCAAACAATTACTATCCGGTCAGCTGCACGTCAATACCAGGCAAGATTCTGGAAAAGATTGTTAAGGAAGTGGTCTGCAAACACCTAGAAACAAATGAGGTCATCGCTAATAGTCAACATGGATTTATCAAAAACAAGTCATGCCAGACTAATCTGATCTCTTTTTTTGATAGAGTTACAAGCTGGGTAGATGTGGGGAATGCCGTGGATGTAGCATACCAGGATTTCAGTAAGGCCTTCAAGAAGGTCCCCATGACCTTCTGGCAAACAAACTAATCCAATGTGGGCTAGGCAAAACTACGGTGAGGTGGATCTGTAATTGGTTAAGCAGACGAACCCAGAGGGCGATTCTCTCTAATGCTGCCTCTTCATCCTGGAAAGAAGTGATGAGCGGAGTGCCGCTGGGTTCCGTCCTGGGCCCAGTCCTGTTCAACATCTTTATTAATGACTTAGACGAAGGGTTAGAAGGCATGATCATCAAGTTTGCAGATGACACCAAATTGGGAGGGATAGCCATATTAGCCAATACTCCAGAAGACAGGAGCAGAATTCTGAACGATCTTAACAGATTAGAGAGATGGGCCAAAACTAACAACAGTGACAAATGCAAGATACTCCACTAAGTCAGAAAAAATGAAATGCAAAGATACAAAATGGGGGACGATGGCTGGCTTGAGCACAGTACGTGTGAAAAAGGTCTTGGAGTCCTCGTGGACAACAAGTTAAACATGAGCCAACAATGTGATGCGGTGGCAAAAAAAGCCAATGGGATTTTGGCCTGCATCAATAGGAGTCTAGTGTCTAGATCCAGGGAAGTAATGCTACCCCTCTATTCCACCTTGGTCAGACCACACATGGAATCACACTGCAAACTTGTTTTCTGCTGCCCTGGAGACTAGGACGCGGAGCAATGGCTTCAAACTACAAGAAAGGAGATTCCACCTGGATATGAGGAAGAACTTCCTGACTGTGAGAGCTGTTCAGCAGTGGAACTTTCTGCCACGAAGTGTGGTAGAGGTTCCTCCTTTGGAAAAATGTAAACAGAGGCTGGATGGCCATCTGTCAGGGTGCTTTGAATGCAATTTTCCTGCTTCTTGGCAGGGGGTTGGACTGGATGGCCCATGAGGTCTCTTCCAACTCTATGACTCTATGATTTTATAATTATGTGAATGGATTTCCTTTGTCTTGGAAAGTCTTTCAATTTACTCCAGAAGTTATTAATCTAATAAGAACTTTCAAGAAATGTTTTTGATTGTGATGTTCTTGCATGCCATTTAAGATCACCAAGTCCCTGACTGCAATAGTGCGGTAGGTAAAAGTAACGGTTTTCCCCTGACATTAAGTCCAGTCGTGTCCGACTCTGGGGGTTGGTGCTCATCTCCATTTCTAAGCTGCAGAGCTGGCGTTGTCTGTAGACACCTTCAAGGTCATGTGGCTGGCATGACTGCATGGAGCGCTGTTACCTTCCCACTGGACCGATACCTATTGTTCTACTAACATTTGGATGTTTTCAAACTGCTAGGTTGGCAGAAGCTGAAGCTAACAGCGGGAGCTCACGCCACTCCCCAGATTTGAACCTGCAACCTTTCGGTTAGCAAGTTTAGCAGCTAGACAGTGCTGTATTCTTATTTCATAATGTCTTACATTTATTTTATGCTGTTATCTGTTTGTTTTGTTGTTTTAGCATGGGAGACACTTTCCATAGTTACTTTAGTCCTCATTGTGTGACAGGCTCTCTTCCACCACAACCGCTGCCATTCCTTCATTAGATGCTAAATTTCTTTAAACCGGTTTCTGTCTTTCTGGGAAAGGGAACCACTGTTGTCATCCTTTCAGAGCTCAAGTATCCTGATTGGTCCAGTAGAAATGTTGCAGTGGAAGATATTAGGATCTCAGCCAGAGTCCACGTGCCATCCAACCTATTTTTGTTGTTGTTCCTATTGCCAAATTGGCTACTGTCCTACCAAATATTGATAACATAGATTAGCAAGGGTGAGAGAGAGAGAGAGAGAGAGAGAGTCCTGAAAATCACTTTTTAAAAAGGTACAGAGAGAGCTTGCCATTTCAGGATAAATACTGCTGAGTAAACAAATCCAACAAACAATAAGTAGAATCTCACTATGGCAGTGGTACTATGGGATGAGTACCATAATGTCACAACGAAGGCAATATTTTATCTGTGACCTGTTAGAGTCCTTCATTTTCTTCCACAGAGCATCAAAGGGTCACAGTATCTGCCTGCTAGGTATGTCTAATGGAAAGGCTTGGGACCCACTTACCTCTGCAAGAGATTCCTCACATCCTAGAGGGGAGAAGAACAAAAGAAGAGGGATGTCAATGCTCACATATCTGATTCTTCGCTGAATGAGAATGCAGTCTGTCCCTCCAAAAGGACACTTCTGCAACTTCAAAACTGGGAATAGTTTAACTATCCTTATGCAAAGATTATGTGCCCTTGAGGGTAACAGGGGAGAAAGGGACAGTTAAGAGTTCCCTGGTGCGTTCTCCTTTTGAATTGGCTGTCATCTCAATTTCTTGCCTACAGATAGACACTCTCAGATTTGAATTCCTTTCTGCCAAGCCCTCCTCAGTCTCCTTCCTGAGTGCCTCAAAAGAGCAAAAAGAAAAATCGAAATTCAGGACATGCAGGGCTGACGAACAGGAAACAGCTATTAACAAGTTTGTGTTCTATGAAAATACTAAATAAGGGCTTTGATTTCAATTAACTTATCCATGTAATTCTCTATAAATACAAATGAATCGGAATCCCAAACATTTCTGAGGAGGTTAAGGGTTCATGCAAACACCCAGTGTATCTTGGGAGCTCCTATATATAGAATAGTCTCTCAGTACATCAGGCTGGGTCCTTTCACTCCTTCTGTACCAGTGGTGGAGTTGTAGACTTAGAGGGCCCTCTTCAGGCTAGACAAATCTAATAGTTATTTCACTTTGATTGCTATGGAACCCTAGGATGTGTCGTTCAAAAAAGCACCGGAGTGCTCTGGCTGAGACTTCTACATCTCCCATGCTAAATTGGAAATGTAGGATTCAATAGGATCTTGCCATGGCAGTTAAATGAAATACAGTGCTGTATATATGTGTTGTGTAAATGGGCCCAGGTCACCCTCTAGAGCAGGGGTCCTCAAAGTTTTTAATCAGAGGGCCAGGTCACAGTCCCTCAAACTGTTGGAGGACTGGATTACAATTTGAAAAAAACATGAATGAATTCCTATGCGCACTGCACATATCTTATTTGTAGTGCAAAAAACACTTAAAACAATACAATAATTAAAATGAAGAACAATTTTAATAAATATAAACTTATTAGTATTTAAATGGGAAGTGTGGGCCTGCTTTTGGCTGACAAGATAGGATTGTTGTTGTCGTTGTTGTTGTTGTTGTTGTTGTGTGCTTTCAAGTCGTTTCAGACTTAGGTTGACCCTGAGCGAGGGCCAGGTAAATGACCTTGGAGGCCGTATCCGGCCCTCGGGCCTTAGTTTGAGGACCCCTGTCCTAGAGTCTAGAACAACATCAGAGCAGATTCAAAATGCAGGCAGCTGTGCTTAACCAAAACAATGCCTTATTGATTCAATAATAGCCAAAGAGCAGATTTTTGTAATGGATTTTGTCCATGCCAGAAAAACGATTTCCAAAATATTACAGTTTTGTATCTAGCTTTCCCTTGTCCAGAAATTAGTTTCTTTTGTCCAGTCTTACCTGCAGCAGTTCTGCTGGTGGCTGCTGACATTTCTCTTTTGTCTCCTGGATGAGACTTTCCAGAGAGGAAAGTTCCCGGGTAAGTAAGATCAAGTGTTCATCTCTTTTCCTTGCAATCTGCTTCTCCAACTCCTCCATCTGGGCCTGGAAATGTTTCTCCTGTTTAGCCAGAAACTGCTGCATTTCTCTGATTTCTTGTAAGGTTGTTTCCATTTTTGTTTTTGTCTGCTTCTACAGTGAGCAGAGAGAAAAGCAGGTAAACAAGTATCACATTAAGATACAGTTGCTGAAGTGAAAAATAGAGAGGGCTTCTGGAATTTCAACAGAGGCTTTATGACAAACAATCAGGAGAAACTTCCTCTTCTTGTTGTTGTTGCTTTCAAGTCTGTTCCCTCTTATGGTGGCCCTAAGGTGAATCTGTCAGGGGGTTTCTTGATGAGATGCATTCTGAGGGTGAGTGGCTTTGCCTCCCTCTGAGGCTAAGAGCACTGTTCTACAAATTTTCAGTTTTTCTCAGTTGCAGAAACGAAATGTGCCGTTTCTTAATAAAAAAATTTTTTGTTGTGTCAGGAGCGACCGCTCCTGTTGTGAGAGAATTGGCCGTCTGCAAGGGCGTTGCCCAGGGGACTCCTGGATGATTTTTTGATGATTTATCATCCTTGTGGGAGGCTTCTCTCATGTCCCCGCATGAGGAGCTGGAGCTGATAGAGGGAGCTCATCCGCCTCTCCCCGGATTCGAACCTGCGACCTGTCGGTCTTCAGTCCTGTCGGCACGGGGCTTTAACCCTCTGCGCCACCGGGGGCTCCTTTAATAAATTTAACATGCTGAATTCAAATATAATAATTAAATGTGTTAATTGGCTCTGGTTTTTATGCAACAGCTATTTCAATTTTCTCCACAACAGGTAATTTGTTAATATTATGATAATGTGCCTAACCTTACTGCATGTATACAAACCGTGAATATTTACTAAATTTTAGTCAAATTATATTGCCAATAGTTTATACATGAGAAATATTTATTTAATTAGTCTATTGTTTATGTTTGTGCAGCAAGAAACTATCTTAGTAGGCCTAATGCAGTTGAAAAGTCTGAAAGTTTAAACGTCGCTTTAATCGTGACTTTAGTTTATATCCTGTTTGCTTCTCTTGACTTTTCTTTTGTATTCAAGGAAAGGATTGTCTCTTGCAATGCTCCAGCAGTAGTCTGACAGCATTGACGGAGTCCATTGGCCTTGATCTCTTTTTCCCATAGTGCTTTATTTACACACGTGCGAGGCATAACTACAGTAAAAAAAACAATGTAAAACGATGTTTAACGATACTGTCTCAGTCTTCAACTGACTGACCCTCACCGTTCAAAAGTCTGGCCTTATATAGGGCTTTCTGGCTTTTGCACACGGCACTAATACTGCGTCATCAAAATTTCTAGAATATTCTAGAATCTTCCATAGTGTAAGTCGCAACATGCATTTTTTCAACCATAAGTGATCACGTGATTGCTTATATCATAAAAACTAGCGCCAATATACATTTTAAATGTCATTTTCATTTTCAACACCCCAAAATCATAAAAGAACAGCTATTTTCAGGCCTGCAACTTTCTAGAATCTTCCATAGTGTAAGTTGCAACATGCATTTTTTCAACCATACGTGATCACATGATTGCTTATATCATAAAAACTAGAGCCAATATACATTTTAAATGTCATTTTCGTTTTCAGCACCCCAAAATCATAAAAGAACAACTATTTTCAGGCCCACAACTTTTTCTTCGTTGAACAGTGGCGAACAAATGGCAACTCACTCAAGGTCACAGTGTGGGATCCACGATCAGTCTTCATGCCATCCAAAGATTTATATGATGAAGCTGCATTTTCGAACATATTTTTACACATTGTTTTAAGTTGTGTTCCTTTCATAATCACATTTACTCCTATACTTACAAACAGGTCTTGGGCTTCCTTTTCTGACTCTGCTTTATATTCCAGAATCTTTTCTCTCACCTTCACCAGATCATCCTGACGAACACCCATCAAAAGCTGCAGAGAAACAAATATTCAGTTTTCATTGGAAGGTAAGAGTGACAGCTCTCCCC